AATCAAGGGAGAGACAGAGAGAGAGATGGGCACGTAGCGCGCAAGAGAATAGGACGCACACGAAGGAACAAAGACGCAAAGCACGAGCGTGTACGCAATTGCGGCAGTGCGGGTCACAGAACGCTCGGCAGAATCAAAAGGACGGTAGGTGCATGCCGGTGCATTCATTGTGCCGCATGCATCCATGTCCGCACACCCTACCGTCGCTCAACGCGGTGCAGCGCGGTGCAGCGCAGTGCAGCGCGGTGCAACGGCGGCGTTCGGCCGCGCAGGATGATTAATTAGTTGTCGCGCGTACCATGTCACCGTGTCACTCTTGTCACGGCTTTGTCACTTCGCTGCAAACACACACACACACACTCTCTCTCTCTCTCTCTCCCTCTCTCTTTGTCATCCTCTCGCCCGCGAGAGCGGGCAAACATGCTATCGAAAGCGTGCGCGCGCGCGCGCTCTTCGGGATAGCGCGCGTTGCAGCGCGCGCAAAGCAAATTGCATTGTAACCGGGGCTGCAACAGGCGCGCCATTAATCAATGCCCGGACCACCGCGGCGTGCGATGCGTTCTGCCAATTTCCAAGTCGCGCCCTCCTCGCGACGGCTCTCGCGGACAAAACAGTGGGCAGAGATGCGTCGATTGGGGTGTGTATGGAAATGAAGGCGACCGCGTTCGGGGACCGTGGTCTCCTGTCGTTCTGAGGGAGACGCGGTTCTGTCAGGTGCGATGATATTGGCGATATCGGCGAGTATCCCGTGGAGTATCGATTTCCCGAGGGGCCACCGCGATTTTCGCGTGGATACTTCCTTGGATGCGCAGTTTATTTCGCCACGCTAACGTTAATTGATTGCGCGAACAAGAGAGAGAGAGAGAGAGAGAGAGAGAGAGAGAGAGAGAGAGAGAGACAGAGAAAAAGAGAAACGAAGGAGATAATAGATGGATAATTGAAGTATCCGTCGCGCGGACTCTAAACTCGCGCAGAATCGCGGTTGAATATTTCTGTCGTGACTCAAGTAATGTGTGGAACTCGCATTTAGATCTTTACGAGGGAGAGGATGAAAAATTACTTTAGATCAATCGCAAAACTTTGTTACAAAATAACGTCAGTTAGTCTCTCTACATTTCTTGGAACATTTCACTAAAAATATTAAGTTAGTGCAGAGTCACTCGAATGATTTTCCACTCATGTAGAATGAATTCTACACTCTATATCACCGGAAGAATATTTTCACGCAAAATTGAAGAATGAATTTGATGCACTCCATCGTCACAGAGACGTATTCACTGTAATCGATTGAAACATCTACTCATACGAAGTCAGAATGCATTCTAAACATGAATGAGAACATTCACTCTTGCGATTTCAAATGAGTGTTTTCACATTCGCTTCGAACAAAAATATCGCCACTTTTCACTCGTTTTGAATGAGATTCCATTCCAAGAAATGTAGAGAGTATATCGTCGTCGAAATCGACATCATAACTTATACCCCAAGCTGTTATTCGACGCTAAATCCGGCCATTACGATAAAACATAATCAAGGAGCTAATCGCGGCTTGAGTAAACGGCGACCCGAACATTCGGTGCAATTCCCCGTAGGGTGATCGGCTTTTGCAAACGATTAATTGCCGGTGTGTCGATCGCGTGCGCACAGATATGCCTATCAGGGTGAGAAAGCGCGTCTTCGTCGAACAACAAGTACGACTCAGTCCCAAGACTCGCGTGTATTATCGGCAAGATTGTATCTAGATGCGCGAGATAGACGCGGTTCATCGTTGATTTGCCCGCTCCTAACTCGCGTTGCATCCTCCTAGACGCCGAGGAGAGGCATCGCCCCGAGAGCAATCGCGGCTGTTTCGCGGTCGTTCGATAACAGTAATGAAATCGCATCGACGCGACGTCATCGCGCGCCAAGGAGCTGTCCGTTTCTTTTAACGACGCTTGATTACTCGATTTACCTGTTGCTCCGACGTACGATGGCGCGCATCTCCCATCATAAATATCAGATCCGACGAGAATAAAGATATCGTCGTCCCTCTTTACCGGCTATTCTTTTTAGATCTTTTCGTTTTCCTCGTCCTTCTCTCCTTCGTTCTCTTTAACGTCACGTCGACCGCGCGAATACATCCCCGAACGCGCTTTCCGTTGAGTCTCGCGCAGGATAGAGTTGTTAAGAACCCGAATACGAGTCTATAATATGAGTGACGAGTGTCTCGCACGTTTTCGGACGAGGTAAACGCACTCGCGGTATAGATTCGCGAAGCCATGCGCTTTCGACAACCGTATTCCCAGTTTTTAGCCGAGATTTTAGTCCTACTTTTGACCTGAACTTTCTGACATCTGCTGAAGATATTCTAAAGTTCTAACATATTTTGAAAAAATTGTGATATGAATTGTATATGAATTTTTTGTGATTTTATTTAACTTATTAACTTTGCTGAGAGGTCCTCAAATTAGAACCCATATAAGTGGCATTTCATGCATTTTCTGCCACTTAAAGATACTAAATAAGATTCCAGTTTTCACATGTATTAAACGTGGTTGAAATTTTGATTCTACCTTTGACCTCAATATTTTATTCCAAACACCGATTTTGATACTCTAGATCTATATCAATCTTTTTTTATTCTATTCAACCCACTAGTATTGTCGAAAAGGATCCTCTTTGGAATCTGCAAGTGGCATTTCGTGCATTTTTACTATTTAGAGACGCTAAGTAAGACTTCAATTTTCATGTGTTAAATATATATTAAATATATGTTCTTCAGAATATGTCAGAACTTTAGAATATTTTCAGCAGATATGTCAGAAAGTTCAGATTGGAAGTAGGGCTAAAATTTCGAACTGGGAATACGGTTGTCGAAAGCGGCGAATGGCTTCGCGAATCTGTATCGCGAGTGCGTTTACCTCGTCCGAAAACGCGCGAGACACTCGTCACTCGTATTATCGGATTCGCGATTATCGGGGGAAACGTTACGTCTCCCTCCCCGCGAAGACTCGCATCGTTTTATAATGAAGCCGCCCGGATGCGCTCGATTAACGTTCGATCAAAAGGATTACATCGCACCGTCGCTGTGTAATGTAATTAAAAACACAATATAAAATGTAATTTGGATGGACAAATTTAACATGTCGTTTAATCGACATGTTAACTATTCAGCGGGAACACTTAATTGAAAGTTCAATTGAAGCGCGTCGAGTCGACGTCGCGAGACAATTTAAATATTTTCTAAAATAGAAACGTTTGTGGGGTACTTCACGGTTTCGCGATTTCCGTCTCGCGCGCGCGCAATTAAAACGGCACGACGAAATGCTTAATTATACACGCGGAATGCATTAGTGCGTTGCGTCAATGCAATTCGCACGGGACGCGCGCGATTCAAGTGTGTCCGGTGCTTGACAGTTAATTAAGAATCAATTTACAGGATTGCGGGTGACGCCTGTAACGCATAGAAATCAATCAATTTGCATGCAGATGTGTATTCGTGGCGCTCGGAACGAACACCGAGCCGTTCGTATTTTGAAACATTCACGACGAATGCTCGATCATGTTCGTGAATCAGCTAGCGCAGTCGATCGGTTCGATTCAATTAGCGCGCGTGTGGAGCGATCTGACGCGAGCGTTTGTGCAAGTGCGCGCACGTACCGTCAGAATCGTTCGTTGCGCCACGCGATGAAACATTTAAGAACTCGACTGAAAAATCTCGAGAAAATGAATGAGATCTCAGTGTTCGCAGGCCTGCAAGATTGAATCTTTTGTCTATACGCACCTGCCTTCTACAATAACGGTACAATCATCCTGTATATCGTGATATTTTTATCTGTGAGGTAAAAATATCAATACCCGGACATATACTTAATCCTGAATTCATTTTGGTCGTTAAACTCAAATATTTAAACTTTCAACATAAAATATACATATATTGAGTATATTCCACGTTGAAAGTTTAAATATCCATATTAAATATCCATATTTAAAGGTCAAAACAGGAAGGATTAGATATGTGTTCAGGAATTAATATTTTTACTTTAGTCATGATAAGAAACAAATTGATGCAAATCAAAGCGAAGAAACGAGGAATGTAGCTTGTGAGATAAAAAGTTGAATGCCTAACATATATGATTAGTTCGATTAATATGATTAGTAAGCGAGTACGTGTTAATTAAGGCTCTGAGTCAGAATCAAATTTTTATGTGATTGACGGTGATTATAAAAAAAGTTTGTGCATGTATAAGGCTTACGAAATTCATTAAGAGTTTCTAGATTGATAAGATAGCGATATATATAGCAACAGATGATATTTGCAATCAGACATATAAGTAAATAAGCAATATGAAAGCAATAAAATATATGAAAGCATGATATAAATATGACATAATAAAGAGCACACGTAAAATATATATGAAATGGCACAATATTATATAATAAGTAATTAAAATATATGTACATGCATGACAATTATACAAGGCGTGCGAAAACGATCGTATAATACTTTAACAGTGCATAATCTGAAGCTTAATCAAAGTTGAAAATCTTAATATGAAAATATCAAGTCGCGATAGTGTCTGGATTGTGAGGCATTGAAATTAATCAGTGACTTTCGTGTTAAGATTTTCGACTCCAATTAACCTCTAAAATATACCATTAAAGTCTTCAAATTAAAAGATCGTCTTTCCACACGGACAGTGGCGTAGCCAGAAAAAAGTTTTGGGAGGGGCTGTACTTTTTATTTTTGACGAACAAAAAAAGTCATTCGAAAAAATTTTTCTCACATTTAGCATAACCCAGAAAATTAATTTCGGGTAGAGGGCTGCAGCTCCCTCAGGCCCCTTTGGCTACGTCACTGCACGGATATCAAAACATTCGAGTATTCATGGTATTTAAAAAAAATATAAGCATTATGTATAATTGTCTCTACTTTTGTTGAAAATCAATGCGATTTACGAATATGCATGCAGTACACACGGCTAATGACACTCTATGAGTGTTCAAAATTCAACACTCACCATTATGCGTCGTTGAAGTCCATCGACGTTGTCCGTCGTCGTCCATCATTCACTGCGTCGCTCGGCATCCGTCCAGCGTCGTCCAAGTCGATTCCTCTTGATGCACTTCACTCGCGAGACAATTATTTTAACGACGTTTACGGATGTGACGATTTAAGTACGGCGAATCTCGACACTTCGAGAGCGTACTCGCTGGTGACGAAACGCGCTTGCAAAATCGCAACGCGAATGCAAAAAAAAAAATTGAAACGAAGATGAAAAATTGAAACGATTGAAAACTGAGATGAAAAATCGATTAACGCGAAGTAAACAATTGATATTTTCGCGAAATCTCCACGTCTCGAGAATGTTGTCGCGCGGCTGTAAACAATAATCGCATGACTATCGCGAAATTCTTTTCTTCGTGAATGGGAAAATTAAAACTACAATAATCGTAAAGTTGATTAACATGACCGAAATAATTGCGAGTTCCACGTATGCGTATGTGGCGCAATTTTAGCGCCTAATTACTTCGCTAAATATTCTGCGAAGTTCATGGGTCGAATCTCATTCGACCGCAGTAAGTGGCCGCAGATAAATAATTGCGGCTGTTGTAGAATTTTTGCTTCAACGAGCAAAATCGGTATCGAAATCGGTATAATGTAAATCGTGACGGGAACGTAGATTTAAGTAATCGAGAAGAAATGTCGCGGTGTACGTACAAATCTCTTACGCAAGAAACAACCGCGGCTATTGTAAAGATACTTCAATGACTGAAATCTAATAAACCATAAATTGTGACGTGAATGTAGATCAAAAAGAATTGAGACAAGACGTCGCGATGATCGTCTAATTCATCGATGCTTATAAAAATCGCGGCTGTCGCGAGATTTCTATGTTTGACATTATTGTAATAATGTAAGTCAAAAGAATCGAACAAAAGGACTTCGTGACAATCTTCGAATTCGCTGACGCGTCCGCGAGCAAACAACAGACGCGAGACAACCGTGAAATTGATGTCTTTGTAAATGAAAACGTTAAAATCACGAAATTTACTAACGTGAGTGAAAATGTCGTGAATTCTGCGGCTGTGGCGCAATTCTAGCGCTTAATTGCTTCGTTAATTATTCTTGTGAAGTTCACAGGTCGAATCTCATTCGACCAAAGTCCGATATTGGAAAACTGAACTGTCGAGAGAAATATGAATCGAAATTAGTATGAATCGGTTATGTCAAATAAACGTTACAATAATTATATCTCTGTGTATAATGTAACATAGTGTTAATTATGCGTTGATTCTACAAAAACTCAACTAATGATTTAAAATTATCAAAGAATAAAACGGTGAATAAACGTAAGTAGAAACGTGTATATCTTTCACTTGTTCCATTAGCTGTACAACCGATTTTTCAAAAGTAACTAATTGTACTTTCTTCGAAATTTTTATGAAACGCGGTATAACATCATAATGCCTGGTGACTGTCACAACATTCAACTTTTATGAATCAAATCATAATAAATTATTCAGATATTACTCAAATATATTTTGCAAATTCTCATGTCTCTCAGAACGAAAAGAACTCAGCTCGCACCACTATATTTCGCTCGACAATTCAGTAAACACACAACAAAAATATAACAATATTAACGAGCAAAGCAAATTGCATTGATTTTAACAAAATTTCAGAAGCTAAAACCATCACCTTAGAAAATTTCCCATTTTTCTGACTCACCAAACTATTGATCAAGGTTGGCCACGTTCAGCTACTCAATTCTGGAACAAAAAAATATCGTTTTCTTATTACACTTGCCAATTTTAACAAACAAAAATGTAGTAATATGTAATAATAAGTGTGGTATAATCATAAGATTCATAATAATCATAAGATAACCAGCCACTTGCAATTGCAAATAATTTAATAATATAATTTAATTTAATAATTTAATTTGCAATTGCAAATAATTTATATAAGTTATTTTAGGAAGTTTGTTTCTCAATATTTGATCGCAAATAACCAAATAATATTCTTTGAATTTAGTTAACATACCTTCGAGCCAACCTTGCTTGGCCCGAACCGGATCCTCCGGTATGTACTGCGTTAACCACGTCACAGCAAGTTTCACTAGGTCTGAAACAGAAAGTAATTTAGTGGTCAGTTGCAGCGAATTTATTCGGTATTGTCAGTGATCAAGCGAATTTATTTGGTATAAATCGATCGAATATACGATAATCCGATTGTATTTCTCGTTTAAATATAATAGAAAATACATGTGCTATTCACCCTGTGAATCTTCTATATTACTATTTTTGTTCATGACAATCTCAGTAAAACGATCACGCACGAAGTGTCACAAGTTGCTTCACGATCGCTTGATTGATAACGAATAACGGAAATTAGCGCGCCACGTGTTATGATGTGCTCGGCTCGGCGTCAGTAACTGTTATGACTTACGCGCGAGGCTCAAACCTATATTGTTATTGTTGTGTAACTCCCCGCGCGCACCGAGGTCGATTGATTTTGACGGTTGAATCGACTCATTCAATTGTTTGCACAGAAAGATTATAGTTTTCTTTTTCGCTTAAATTCTTTTCACTCTTTATATAGACTTAGAAAAAAAAAATATTCTTGTTTATCTCTTTACTGTTAACATCTTTATATTTCAAATGTCAACAATAAAGATATCCTCTAAACAAGAATATTCTTTTTTCTGTGTATGTTTTTAGTAGTTCACATACGAGTAGAGCACATATCAAATAGAAGAAAAATAAATTACTGCAGAATGTCGGTCTATTTCTCGGTGACAAAGTCCTGTAATAATTATCGCTATAAAATTTCCTCTCTCCATGTAATTATCTGAATTTGCGTTCCGAACACTGCTTATTGCGTTTTTTATATCGTACGACTGATGTTCGTCGGAATTTAATGATCAATGATGATTTTAATTTAATAATTAATAACCTACAATAATACAATATAAGAGAAATTAGTAAGAGAAATATTAAATAAAGAGATATTATATATAAAGTAAAATATTAATAAAAAGATATCAAAGAAAATTAGATGAAATATTAATAAATAAAGAGAAATAAAATTATTCCAAAACAGAAGGAGGGACGTGAGAGAAATTACACGATTCGCCTTCGCGAAAAAGGACAGGACATGCGGCGATACTTTCGCTACTTTGCTGCGCAAAACGCGGCAATCGGTAACGAAAGGTGGCCGAAATACGGATTAGATATCGCGTGCTATTTGCAACCCAGTCGCGCTCCGCTGAATGCGATCTAATTAACCAAGAATTCCGTCGGTCATGTAAGAGTGACGCCAAGTCTGGGATCTGATAGCGCGACGGGCATCCGGCATCCGTCGACACAGCGAGCGGACCTTCCTTTTGTGCGAGAATCCGACGAGAAAAAGGCGTCTCTGGTTAAAATTTCGCGTGTTAAATATGTAATTGCTCCGACGAGAGTGAATCATAGAGTCATGGTAGCGGACGGGATGTCGGGGGTCGGGGGTGGTTGCAGGAAAAAACGAAGGTGATGAAGGAACGCAAAGTGGGAGCTAGGACGAGGACGATAAAAGGCCGGTGATCCTGCTCTCACCAGCCGACTGACCGACCTCTTTCTCACCCTAGCAGGACCTCCTCGTCGTTTGGACGCGCACTGCCGTGGCAGCGGACGACTTAGTCACGACTTTGCTACGCCCGCAGCCTTCGTTTTATTATTTAGCCGCGCGCAGGAAACGAGCCGGTAGAATTAAGGTAGGCGGAAATTAATGAGAGGACGTCGAGAGCAGCTCGAGAAGGAACCGCCGATGCGACGTGGCTGACAGGACGAGGGGATTCGCGAGAAGGACGAGCTGGAAGAAGGATAATAGTCACGGGCGAATTTGCAAGTGACGAATTCGCAACGAGTGGCCTCAGCGCGATTGTATTTAGAATTAATTTATAAGAAGACGTGATGCTTGGAAATTATTTCCGCTATTTCACATATATGATAATAATAGTGATAAACTGCTCGCGCAGAGGGTGCCCGTGCATGCACACTTCCCGAGTCGATCGACGATTATTAATTAGCCGCCTCTTCCACACGTAATTCGCGTAATAAATTCCCAAGAAAATTGGAAGAGGATCTCCTCGTGCCGTCCTCCGCTATCCCGGAGCGTCTTTGAGACACTTCTCCTTGGTGATCCTCGCAATTTCTCACAGCTGTTCTCAGGGCTTGATAAAAAAAAAGAAAAAAGCGGGGTTGTTAAGAAAGGCGGTTTCGACTCAATTACCGACTTCCTCTCGTCTCGTTCAAAGTAATCAATCTAGAGCAGGAATTACCGGCTGCATACGCTTATTTCCTGTCACTGCAGTTGACAATTTACGAAGCAATAAAGTTTGCATACTCGTATGTGTGTGTGTGTGTGTGTGTCTGAGTGTGTGTATCAGCTATGTGGCCATCTATTATAAACTCCGCAACCTCGGTATAAATCTTAACACTCTAAAGTTCTCTTCTATATACTCTCGCGAGCTCATTACTAAACGTGCTACATTTTCATAAAACAATTTAGCGCGACATACCTATCTGAGTTGCGTACTTCCTCCGCATAAATTATCATATACACTCGCTAATGACGATGTATCCATTAATTATGAACTCCGAGCTGCCAGCTGATCATTGCCAGCGCGAACGTATCTACTGATGAACGTTGATCAGTTCCTCGAAGAACTCCCGAAATTTTCTCTCAATACGCCAACAACTCTCACGAGAGAGCGCACACAATTGTCCAAAAAATGAGTACACCAAACTGCGACGCGGTTGAAAACGGCCACGCTAATGGCCTGCCAGTCGACTCGTTATCGCGAAAATTTTCCATCTCGCGTGGAGTCTTCTTTATTCGCACCGTTCGTGCGTTTCGACCGGCTCGATTACGCCATCCTCCCCCCTGCCCCCCGCACCATCGCACATCGGCCGCTGCTATTTTCGCGCACAGAGCGCAAATCCACCATGATCCCGGATTTCTGCCCGGCCGCCGGCGCACGCCGCACCGTCATTAAATGATCGCACAAAGCGCGGTGAAGCCTCGGCTTTAAGATCTCAAGCTGTTGCTAAGGGATTGATGGTGTTACCATGGCAACTACTGAGGGCCTATTGTTGCACCCCGCTGTGTGTGGTAGCTTCGTGTACCCCGCACCCCCATTCCCTCGCATGGCATATTTATTTGCATGTAGTGTAGGTACTTGCGCGTGTACACGCACGCAACGCATCTCCGACGCGCGCGTGTAGACCGAGCATGTGAGCGCGTACGTGCATACATGCGTGTGTGTACGTACGTGCATGCGTGCGTATATGCGTGCGTGAGGACGTACGCACGTACGTGCCGTGCGTTTATGCATCTGTGCCAGTGGTACCAAACCCCTTGGCGCGCTCGGGGCAACGTCCTGAGTTTAAAGACGAGGGATCGGCTCGCCGAGTCCTGCTGAGGGATGTTGAGATTTTCCGACATGCCGAAGTGAAAACCGACGAGCCAAAACTCAAAATGGAGATGTCACATCTCTTCGGCTCTGAAGGAACCGGTGAACCAAAGAGAGAATCTTTGACACGCGGGTAAATTTCGACAAGGGCAGACGGGAAGTAGGGAAACTCCAATGAAAAATTGTCGAAATCTTCCTGTTGCGATATGTTTTTGTAATTACTCATAATTGAAGAGTATAAAATGAACGAAAATTGTAGAAGATTTTAAAAATTACTGCAGAATTTTGTAATAGAGGAACAGATCGACATTCTGTAGTAATTTATTGTCCTTTATATTTACATTCTACGAACTGAAATGTATTGTTAAAAAATTTACCTTGTTTCCAGCGAAATCTATCTTTATTATGTTTCTTAGCAGGAAGGAGCCTCTAAAATAGTGCATGGTTCATACGTTAAGGCCATTATGTCCCGCTCGCGTTTCTCTTTTGGATGAACGTTCGATGCAATACGCAAATAACTCTTTGCGAGATACCGAAAGGTGACGGCGATAAAACCGCCACCGGTGGCGGTGTTATCAGCCCCTCGGAGACTGGGGCCAACGACCTCCCTCTAAATGCCAGGAAGCCGAGGTGAAGGCGCGCTCCGCGCTACACGCCGCGAAGAGAGAGAGAGAGAGAGAGAGGGAAAGAGAGGGCCCGTTTAAACTTTTCCACTAAAGGTAAATTATTCGTCGGCGCGAGAGCCGTCGTTGCAGAAGCGCCGCGGTGTACGCGCCACACTGTCGGCAAACACGAGATTGAACTGGGTCAGAATAGGAGAGTCGTGCGAATAGTACTTCGCGCTTCGTCGCGGGCAACGGCGCCGCAATCAAAACCTAGTAGCGTCGTATACGGCGACTTTTTGCCGCGGGTGTCGTTGTAAACCTACCACCAGCACTCCGCGCTGTCGCGACTTACTAAGGGTCGCCCCGAGGACACTCGACGGGATTCGGTGGAATATTATCGCACCTAAGAAGAACCATTACCGGCGCACTCTCACTAGGTTAATCGCGGTTTCGCGCTCGGGACGATTGGCGGAGTTCTCCATCCGCTTTTTGCGCTTCGTTAGAATCCACCGCGGCGTTGGCCGCGTTTCCACGCGCGTTTTTGCTCCGACGGGAAAACACGAGAGTACATTTGCGTGCCCAGGAGGCATCCGAGTTTCATGAAGCGCGAATTACGTCCGCGTCGTTTGTTAACTTCCTGAAAATTAAAAACGCGTCTCCGCGAAAGAGAGAGAGAGAGAGAGAGGCAGGTCTCTCGCGAATCCCTTCGACGGATCGTTCCCTAACGAACGTTCTCCATCTGACGTACGCGGGGAATATCGCGGGGAAACATCTTTATTATTCACCACGAGGATTTCACAAAGCGCGCGTGCACGAGACGCGCATGGGAAACACAAGAGATCGTGGTGGAACGCGAGCATAATGCATCGCTGAAAAGGAGAAAGAAGCTGTGTGTGCGCGCGTGCGACACGCACTTTCATCCCGCGTAATTACGAGCACGACGACGACGACGATGACGACGATGTCGTCGTCGTCGTCCTTCGACGTCGGGGAAAAGCGGGCATAATGAGGATGCGCGAGCCGCGAGGACATAGAACCGTCGTTATTCCGCGCGTCTCATTCGC